TATCATTATCATTATCATTATCATTATCATTATCATTATCATTATCATTATCATTATCATTATCATTATCATTATCATTATCATTATTATTATTATTATTATCATTATTATTATTGTTATTATTATTATTATTATTATCATCATTATTATGATTATTTTAAGATCCACTAGTCTTTACTTTCGTGCAGTAGCGCTGATGGTGTTTCAATTCGTTCAAAACCTCGTTCTGTTATGCCTCTTTATAAACTCCTTATATTAAAGCTCTTCAAAACTAAAATGAACCTTTATCGCATTCACATCAATGAGCGACCGGCCACTAAAAAATGGTTGCAAGTCGAGGTTGGACCTGATATAAAATACATTTATAATGTTCCGGAACAGTTTGGCTCAGCGAAATATTATTCACAGAACGGTTTCGACATAAATATTATGTCATATAAACTTAGTTCGAGCGAAAATGTTTTCTTTTATAACTGACTGCCTAATAGACAAGCCAATCAAGCATTTTACATCCATCGATTAAACTGAAACAAATGAATTCAAAGGATGCACTAGTCATTTTTAAATCGATATATAATGTGTTATATAATATTAAGCACGCAAAGGTTACGGTCACTGGAGTTCATGTTCTCTAACCTTGACCTAATAAAAGTTCACTCATTTTTATTATATAATTCCCTTGACCACTTGCAAAAATAAATAAAAAATAATAAAAAAATTCTCGCTTAAAATTAGCGACTACATAAGGCCCCGAGTTACTTTTTACCTCAGAATGTTTTCACAAATTCCCTTTGTTATGTTTGCTATTTTCAAGTAAAAATATCTTATATAATCTTTGTATAGCAACGTGTTTATTTCCTTGGCGAGAGTCACGTTTTTTGTTGGTAATTTTGTAGCTATAAAAAATGCTTTTGCCACCTGTCCGCGTGACTTTTAGAGAATATGCACTATAGTCAATCGAAACCCTTACCGACACTACACGGGGCGGGAATTTTAATTAATTCTCGTATAGTGTTAAATAAAGCACTTTCTGCTGGTCCCCGGAGAAGAATTTGATGTCAATTGCCCGGATTTAGCTACTCTATACGGCCCCGGATACGGCCCCGGTATTTTTGTTCTTGGACAGCTTAATATATAGCGTTATTTGAACTTGATTATAGTTTGGCATCCTTGAAGTTTGGAGACCCAAGAATTTGGTAATTCATCCGACTATTTGATGAGATTCCTAACTCACTGCAATTGTGTTTCATCTTTTGAGTATAATAAAATGAATAGTTGAAAACAGAAAGATGGAAATGAACTTTTTGAAAAATAGAACTTGCACCTACCTATATTTTGTCTCGCGCGCTTTGCAAAAAGAATTATTGTTTAACCAGAAATTTTCAGTGGAATATGCAAGAAATAAGACTAATATCTCCAGACACCTTTTGAGTTAACTCTGAAAAGTTATCAACAAGAGTGTATTTACATTTGAATTCAGTAATATAAGGTTGAAGTGAATAAGATTTATTCTGTGACTTTGAAAGAAAAAGGGCTCTAGAACAAAGTACCTTACCTATAATACGACACTTGAGGGCCGCCAACCAAGATTCAAAATTAATTCATGAATTAAGAAAGAAACACCTAGAACAGAAAAAAGAAAAACAAAATCCTTAAGGAAGAATTATTTTATGATTACTTAATAAGTCAATAATTGTTTATTCCGTTTTCTAACACATTAAAATGTGTTTCGCCTGACTATGTATATGCTTCAGTTACATAACGGCTTATCTCATAGCATGCTCACGTGGACTTTAGTAAGTTGCTATGGCAATACGAAGTATTCCTTCTGTAGCCACTTACGATTTGTTTCTTATCAGTTAGAAAAATGCTATTTTTGGATTGAGTGCAGGTTTGTTTCAAGTGGGGATATGATTATGATCTAAGTTTTAGGCACGATCTCGCCTAATTTTAACAAGCATGCGTCGCGACTTTCGCGAGACACAGGCGGGTTACATGGCGCAATTTAGGCTTTATGAAACGTGCTTCGTACGTCACGAGAAAGTTTCACAAAAAGTTGAGCTTTGATTTTATACTCTTGCAAACGTGTGTGTCGCAAACATGTTGTGTCAGGACAAAAATGAGGCGGGTAACACCCCCCTGAAAGTTGTCTCGCACAGGGCGCCTTATTCCCGGTCATTACTCATTTCTCACCCGGCCATCGCCCTATTTTAGTAAAGTCCATTGCCACATACGTTTCTGCTTTTAAGAAAGTAATATCATTCTCAATCTAACCACTCTAAAATTGAAAACTGCGGCCTTTCGTATGTTAAACCAACATAGTTCAATTCGAATTAAGCTGGATGGTTTTTCCAAACAAGTCGCTTAGAAGGTCGTCTTTTGGTAGCCAAAAGCACGTGCATTGAAGTATGCGAAATACATTAAATGTGGTCATACGTATGCGCGACGTTGCGCTGTGCATGTACATGTAATATATGTCTAATGGAAAGAAACGGTGGAATACCGTATAATATGCAACGGACGTTTTCCTGCATTCTGATTGGCTGTATTTTCGATTTGCTCTTTTACTCCGACGAAGGACTAGCGTCCGAAACGTCAGTAAGTTTTTTCATCGTTTCATGGTGTATAATTTACCTTTTTATCATTACTGTATTTTCTATGGTGCGGGATAAAAAGTGTATTCTGATATAAATAAGCAGTGTGGATATTAATTTTGGATTTCGGCTTCAGAGATCTTCTTTGTCTTGTGGTTTATTCCTTTCTCGCTGAATTGCTGATGTTTCTTTTCCTGTGGCAGCGTTCTTGCGGGTAGGTGTATATATATTCATATTTATTTATTCTTATATTTATATAGTTACATATTTTAAATCTATTTTGTGTGTGTGTGTGTGTGT